TACCGCCAGGGCACCACTACCAGTTCGACTCGCTGCGCCGCGCCAAGCACTCCTCCATGATGGTCCTCTACCACCTGCACAACCCCACGGTGAGGCGGCGGGGGCTAGAGCCCGCCTCACGCCCAGCCAGCCCTGCCAGCCCGCCCAGCCAGCCAGCCGGCCCGCCCAGCCAGCCAGCCGGCCCGCCCAGCCAGCCAGCCCTGCCCAGCCAGCCCGCTGCACAGCCGGCGTGCCCAGCCGGCAGCCCAGCCGGCAGCCCAGGGGCGGCGCGGCTGGGGGCAGGCCGGTGTGCTGACACGGCGGTACCAGCAGGGGGTAACCAGCAGGGGGGGGTGGGCGCCGGCACCGGGTCACCAGGCGTGCCGCGCCGCCCATGCCCGCCTGCCGCCCCCTCACCTGCCTCGCCCTGTCTCGTGCCTCCCACCACCACCACACACACACACGCCCCGCTGTACCGCCCTCCTGCTGTCCCGCTGTCCCGCAGGCCCCCGCCTTCACCTGCACCTGCAACGTGTGCAGCCGCGAGATCCAGGGCGGCGACGGCTTCCGCTGCACCACCTGCCCCGACTGGGACATGTGCCAGGCGTGCTGGATGAACAAGGCGGTGCCGCGGCACGAGCACCCGCTGGTGGTGAGCGCCGCGGGCGGCCGCAGGGGCGGGGGCCGCTCCGCTGCCGCAGCCTGGACGGCACCTGCCTGCGCTGCCGCAGCCCGCCGGCGCATGCCCCTGCCGCCCTGCTCGCTGCACGCTGCTGCTGCCGCCTGCTCCTGCTGCTGTGGGTCATTGCACGCCTGCCTGCCCTCCCTTTGCCCCCCCACCGTGCTCTCCCCCGCCCTGGCCCTGCCCGCCCCCTGTTTCCACCCCTTGCCCACCTCCCTGCCTCCCCCCCCGTACAGCCACTCGCGCGACATTGACGAGCGGCGCAACCGGCTGTCCCAGGAGCAGCTGGCGGCGCGCAACCAGGCCCTGCACCACACCATGCAGGTGCCCTGTGTGTGTGTGTGTGTGTGTGTGTACGGGCGCGTGCGCACGACCCAGCCGTGTGTGCTGTGTGTGCGGGATGCGTGGCCCAGGTGTGCGTGTGCAGCCGGGCGCGGCGTGTGGGGGTTGTAGCCAGGAAGGCGGCACGTGGCGGCGCTGCGGTGACCCTCCCTGCCCCGCCCCGCCGGCGCCGCCCCCTGCCGCCTGCAGGTGCTGCAGCACGCCAGCGAGTGCCTGGACACGCGCTGCCCCAGCACCAGCTGCGCGCGGGTCAAGGCGATGTACCACCACGCCATGAACTGCCCCGTGAAGCTGGCGGGAAACTGCCAGTACTGCAGGTGCGGCGCCGCGCCGGCCGCGCCGCCCTGGCCCCTTGCCTCGCGCCGCCGGGCACGCCGCGCGCCCACGCCCCTCGGTTGCTTGCTCAAACCTCCCTCCCTCCCTCCCTTCCTCCCTCCCTCTCTCCCTCCCTGCCTCCTCCCTCCCTGCCTGCCTCCCTGCCTGCCCCTCCCCGTCCGCAGGCGCATGTGGATGCTGCTGCAGATGCACGCCACGCAGTGCACAGTGGCCAACTGCCAGGTGCCGCGCTGCACGCAGCTGCGCGCCATGCGGCGCCAGCAGGCGACGCGGGCGGAGGACAAGCGGCGGGCGGCGTACCGCACGATGCTGCGCCAGCAGGGCGGCGCGTGAGGCGCCGGCCGCGCCGCCGCTGCCCCGCGCGCCCGCCCCCTCGCAACCCACCCCGGTTCCGGCGCCGCCGCGCCGCTCCCTGTTCACTCCGCCTGTACCCTCACCTTGCGCCGCCCTTGGCCGCACCCTCCCTGCCCACTCCAGCTATTGGCATAAGCACCTGCCCCGCATATTAGACACCTCCTCCCCTCCCCATTGTTATCTGTCTCGCTGTCCCCACCCACCAATTCCGCTCTGCAGTTCCTTGTGCTGCTCCTCCTGCTCGAGTTATCCCCGTCTGACTCTGCATGCCAGCCGTGGGCCCCTCCCACCCTCGGCGCCGCATCCTCTCCCCGCTCCCGTCTGCCTTCCTGCCGATTGTTTTCTGGCCGCCCGCCGCCCACGCCAGCGAGCGGGCCGTCGTAGCTGACACCTTATAGCCCCAAACACCTTACGGCCCCAAACAATTGATTGATGCACCGCTGCCGGCCTGGCCTGGCTCCCCCGCGCCTGTGCCTGGCCCCGCCATGCTGCCCGTCTCCCTCCAACGCTGGCCTCCCGCGCAGCGCCCCGGCTGTACCTGCTCCCGCACCGGCGGTTCCCTGGATGTGATCAGGTGTAGCTGTAAGCATTTCCCACCAGCAGCTCAACGCTGGCGAGGATCAGGGGGTGTGCTTGGGGGAAGGAGAGCACCACCAGCGGCTGCTCCCGTACGGCGTGCAGTTCCGCGCTCCCCGATTCCTCCCACCAGGCTTGCCATCCATCCCCAGGCGATTACCATTCAATTAACAGGTTTGTATAGAGTTACTGATATTTCTCACAGAATTCAGACAGAAAAAAAGACATTCTGACAAACAAGCATTCTCTGCCCCGCCTCCCAAGACGCCTACAGCGCCCAGCCCATCCAGCAGTGAAATCGAGGACTCTCTGCAAGTCTGGTGGTGCCCCTGCAGGCGAGTGGAACAAAGAGAGGGTTAGCTCGCTGTCAAGTGGGGAACCCACGCAGAAGCGAGTCGATGCGAAGTCAGGGCATGGCTGACAGGACGCAGCGCCACCTTTCACACCCACCTGGCTGGCCTGCCCATCGAAGCTGGCTTAGCTGATCTTGATGTTACCCAACATCAGCACCACGACGTGCACCACGGTGAGCTCTGCAGCCATAGGAAGGACCCAGGTTTGTGAAGGCAGGGGTGGGGACAAGGCTGGCGGGGAGAAGGGTAGGCACCCCACGGCTGCATGCAGCCAAGGGGTGCCTAGACTGGCCAGATGCCGCCCGGCACAAGGCAAGCCTGCGATCCACGCACTCAGCAGCAGGTTGGGCACGATGAATGCCTTCACCGCACTCCACTCGGCGTCATCCAGAAACCTTCCGGCCTCCCTGACGCCGCCCGCCGCGGACTGCACACAAGGACAAGCGAGCGAGTAGCATGACAGGCAGTTGGCGGGCAGTGCGGCCTGCCAGGCTCAGCTGACGAGACCTGAGCGTGTAGGCGATAGACGCATAGCAGTCGCAACCAGGCCGGCTGCTCACCTGTGCAGCACCCCTGGCGGTGCCGGCAGCGTTGGCGGCACCCACCCCCGCACCGGCAGCTGTGGAGGCAGCGGTGTCGCGCGCGGCGCCGGCCACCTGGCCTGCACAGCAGGAAACACGCAGCCGCTGTAGGTGGCGGCTGACGTGCAGCAGCGCAAAGGTGCTGAGCTGGCATGGGCCCACAGATGGTGCTTTGAGGCTGTTGCTGTGCCTTATCACGCCCCCGTGGTGCTCTGCCCGGACCCCTCTCCCGCCAGCCGCAGGCTCACCAGCGCCAGCGCGGCCACCCCTCTCCTCAAACCCTTCGGCAGCGGTGTCGCTCAGCTCGCGGGCCACGCCCTGGGCCGACTCTGCTGTGCCACGGGCCTGCAGGCAGCGGGCGCGAGGGATGGCGCCTTCTACCCTCTTCAAGGGAGTGCCTCTCCCCCAGGCAGCTGCTGCAAGTGGACGGTAAGGCTGGTGAACAGCGAGCGAGGCGGCACACCGACCTGCTCGTGACCGGCGCCCAGGATCGGGTCGGAGATTTCCTGCGGGCCCGCCACTCTGTCGGCTGCGGGGGCAGGCACACCGGTCCCTGTGAGCGGGCGCTGCACCTGCTAAGCAAGCCGGCCTTGCCTCACAAAGGGCGTGCGCCTGCAAGCGCCAGCAATCCACGCAGCAATGCGTGACTTGCATGCTGCCGCCACTGCGCAGCGGCGCTTCCACAGGCTGAGGAAACCCTAAAACACGTGGGAAGTCCAGGGGCAGCCCAGAGTTCAGGCGCCGCTATCAGGAAGGCGGCGGTTCCGGGCTCCGCCCTCCAACCTAGTTCCGATTAGGGAACTGTGTGAGTTCGCTGGTCTTGGCACCTCTTGGTGACCTTCATCCTGAATCCATTTCGTTCCGTGCGGCACACAGGTGTAAATCCCTGCAGCGTGAGGAGGCAGCGTCGGCAGAAGGAGCCGGCGCCTCGTCGTCATGACCAGCCCCGGATGGCGCCGGCGGCCGAGCGGCGATGCGCCCTCAGCATTCGGTCGTATAGGCCCGCTGCAATTCAACAGAGCCTGTGTCAAGGATCTGCCATCTGGTGAAATGGGTTGACTGGTGCGTTACAATTGCGGGTGTCACACTCAGGTCTAATCTCTGCTGTGACGGCGCTCACCCGGTGTCGACGCTTGCTGGCGCCGCCCGCACGGTGCGGGAGCTTGTTCGGCACACTCTTGACTACAATTGCAAATCCAGGAATGCTCGAAAGGAACTCACAGCCCAACTCCAGTATCGGTTGGTTGGACCCCGATTAGACTACTGATATGAAAGGGAGGGTGAGACTACTGCGGCTGGCGCGCTGCGGTGCGATGCCAGCGGGTCGGCGCAGATGCCCCCGAGTCACTCATCAATGTGCTTCATTCTTCATCTTCTTCACCGCAAGCGCCCAGTGCAACCAACTCGGCTCACCTGCCTCGGCTCACCTGCTTTTCGTCAGCAATGGCGGCTTTGCTGCAGAGGTGGTGGGACAGCTTCATGACTCTGTATCCCGAAACACGTCAAGCAAAGGCATGAGCGTAAGCGCCAGCTGCAGCTGGAGTTGGACAGCGAGGTGGCCAAGCCGCCCGAGGAGATTGACAGGGAGCGAGTGCGGCTGGTGCACTCCAAACTCCTTCACATGGACCGCTGCTGCTGCCAGGTGGAGAGCAGCGCCGCCTGCCTGGTCACTGCGGCATCGGCTGCCGCTCCTCCGCCAACCCGCCCACGCCCAACCCCTCACTCCTGCTCCTCACCCCTTCTTGTGCCTTCGCCTGCAGGATCGGATTTATAATCTGGGGCTGGTTGCTGAAGAGCACGACCGCGCAAACAAGAGATGTTGCGCCGCCTCCGCCTGGGTGCACCAGCGGGCAGCTGTCTCGTGCCGGGCGCGGCGTGGCTACTATCGCCAGCTGGATGCGCAGGCGGTCGAGGAGCTGGTTGCCCTGAGGCAGGGGCGACGCCCCAGGCTGGTGGCGCTGGCCACCCTGCAGCTGCAGCTGCCAGAGGCGCTGCGCCACGAGCCGCCGCGGCTGGATATGTGCAGGGCATGCGCCGAGATTCTCGAGCGGGTGCGTGGTTGACTTGAGGGGGTTGTTTTTGACTCTGCAGCCCATGTCAAAGCCTACCTCATACTCCCTGCGGCCGTTAACTGCTTCCTGGCTGCTGCCACCACCTCTGGTTAGTGCTGCAGATGAAGTCCAACGAGCATGCTATTTCAGTGCACTCGGCAAACGTGGAAGCTATGTACCGGCTCAAGGGCATGCTGCCAGCACCTGCCGCCGCCAGCTCCAGCCCAGAAGGCACCCAGCCAGATCCAGGTCGGCGCGTTGAGGAGGGGGCTGCGGATAACAGTTCTGTGGCGGCGCAACAGCAGCAAGAGAGCCAGCAGGAGTGCGATGGTGGTGGTGCGCCCGACACGCCCATGTGGCAGCAGCGGGAGCAGCCGCTGCGAGGGCGGCGTTCAGCAGCAGCTCATCAGGAGCAGCCAGAGTGCACGGGAGCGGTGCAGGCACTGGGATAGCAGTGATTGCGTGGCAAAGAAATTCACGCTTTCTATCGCTCTCCGCCTCCTGCCGTTGCTGCCAAGCTTGCCGCCGTTCTCCAGTCACACCTTATCCCGGCTACCCACTCCCCGCAACGCTGGTCTCCACCCCCCACTGACCGGCCTGCTGCACAGCACCCTACCTCTACCTGCTGCCGCACCCGCGGTCCCCTGCATGTGCTCTGGTGGATTTGCTAGCTGTAAGCACCTGTCACCACCACCTGAGCGCTGTTGAGGGTGGCTGCAAGGGAGGGAGAGGACAGCGGGGGCTCTGCAGGGCGTTTGCACTCTCCCGCGTCCTGTCACAGCCGCTCTCCACCAACCTTGCTGCTGGCACAATCGCTTTTGCTTGATTGACAGTCTTGTGAGGCTGTTGTCCATGTTAGGCAACCCACGACAAGCACTGCTCTGCTTCGAACAGGCAGTCCTCGCAATCACGACAAGGTAGCGGCAGCCGCTGCTGCTGATGCTGCTGCTGGTTCTGCTGGCCAAGCAGCCGCCAGCTGTGCAGCTGCCGCTTCTGCCGCTTCTGCGCCTGTGGCTGGCGCGCCTGCTGCTGCTTCCGTAAGGGCTGCTGGCTCTGCCGGCTCTGGACACCCTGCCCCAGGCGCACCTGCTGCTGGTGGTGCTGGTGCTGCATCCCCTGCTGGCTGGGGCGGGTCGCCTGCCGCCGCCGCAGGCTTCTCCGCTGAGGCTTCCGTGCCGGCAGCCTCGGCGTGCGCTGCCGCTGTTCCCGGCTCTGCGCCCGGCTCTGTGCCAGCCTGCGGCCCGGGCTGCAGCAGCGACTGCAGCCAGGCCACAGCATACTCAGCCGCCAGGCTGGCATGCGACATCCAGAAGTGGTCAGAGTCTGGGAAGACCCGCAGCAGCAGCTGCCGGCGCTCCGCCCCGGGCAGCGCGGCAGCAGGCGCCGGCGAGGCGGCACCGCCGCCGACCGCTCCCGCTGCCGCCGCCCCCGCGCCCGGCCCCGTCGTAGCTGCCCCCGCCGCTGCTGCGTCTGCCTGCGGCTCAAAGCTGTCGTCCTGGCGCAGCAGGGCGCCCCCGCTCTCCAGCACCGCCTGCCGCAGCGCCTCCTCCTTTGTGAACTGGTCCTGCGCGCAGGCGGGCGGGCAGAGAGCGCGGGGGAGGCAGATGGGGCCGGCAGGGAGGCAGCCAGGCGCGGCCCCGCCATGCACCCACAGCAACGGCACCCCCGTCGACGACGGCAGCGACCGCAGCACCCCGCCCCGGCCCAGGCCCCACCTGGTCCCCAATGAGCAGCAGGCGCGGCACGTGGCTGGCGCGGCACACCTCCCCAAAGTGCCTCCTGGTCTGCAGCACGAAGCTGAGGCCGCCCAGCGGGAAGCTGACACCCACGTAGGCTGCCACCGCGGGGTGGGACAGGCCGTAGGCCGCCAGGCAGCTGCCCCAAGAGTATCTGCGGTACGTGCGACGGCCGGGCGCGTACAAGTCGGCGAGAGCCGGGCGGCAGCTGACAGGGACTCGGCGCGGCGTGGGTGCGAGCGCCAGCGCCGCCGGGGGGGGTCCAGGCGCAGATGCTGGGGTCGCAGCGGGCCTGCCGGCTGACCTGCTGCGTGCTGCTCCTCCTCAACTCCTCTTCACCCTGCCACTCACCCGACGACCGCCACCTGCTTGTCTGGCCCCGGCAGCTGCTCCGCAGCCCACTCCACCACATCCAGCACATCCGCCATGTCCTCCTTGCCCCGCACATTCATGCTGCAGCCCAGGGGGGACAGCCAGGAGGCCAGGCGGGTGGGGCGGTGGGGCGCAGGCCAGGCGGCTGGGAAGGCGCGCCGGGCACCCGCGGCGGCGCCCCAGCTGCGGTTCACCTGCCCGAGGAGCGGCCCACGCCGCGCTGGTTGTAGCGCACCACCAGGCTGAAGGCAGGGCTCGACGCCGCAGCCCTGCGAACGTCGCCAAAGTGTGCAGGGGCGGCTAAGCGCAAACGTGTCGGCAGGGAGCGTGGCGGTGGCGGCGACGGAGCGGCGTTGGCGGCTACAGATTGCTGGCGGCTTACCTGAACAGCTCCGCCACAACATGGTCTTCCATGCTGCCGCCCAGCAAGGCGTAGGGGTGCAGAATGACTGCCGCCCCGCCTCGCCGCTCAGAGTTTGTGTAAACCAGCGCATCGAGCTTGGCATGAGACGTCTCGATCAGTCCGCGCCGCTGCTTGACTCTTCCCGCCATGGCAGGAGTGCAGCGGGCAGACGCGAGCGATCGGGGTGGAGACCAGGTCTTGCTGGGCGCCAGGGATTGGAACTGGAAGGTCAGGAAGACGATCTGGAGCTGGCGCGGCGCGCAGAACACACCTGCCAGTCTTGTGCTGGTGGCGCCACGTCATGTGTTGCCCGCTGATGTGGCACCTCCCCCGATTCGTCTGGCTCATCAGGCACGCTCTCTCCCGCGATCCCTCCCTTTCCTTCGCCTTTCAGAGTCTCTAAGGCTTCTATTTCTCCCCTCCCGCACCCCGCAGCTGCCGCAAATTTAAAATTATGAACCAACCTGTCATCCTTTATGCCTTAGAACGGCGCCAAAACGGCGCCAAGAATGTGTTTCTCACTAAGTCAGATGTAGAGGGCATCATCCGGATCAAGCAGGGCGACCAGCAGGCGCCCTCAGGCCGGCGGCGGCGGGGTGCGGGAGGGGGGGCGGCAGTGCAGGGCGGCACCAAGAACTACAGCAAGAAGGTGCTGCAGTTCTTCCAGGTGCTGAAGGGCGCTGGCGGTCAGGACATCCTGTGCCGCTGCGTCAAGCGCAGCGGAGAGTGGCGGTGGTGCCCCGTGGTGCCGCTCGAGGAGCTGCCCCGAGTGATCAAGGAGCACCACGAGCGGGCGACTGGCTTCAGCGGTGTGGAGAAGCTGTACACACATGTGAGTGATACAAGGGGTGCAATGCTGCCGCCAGACCAACTGGAGAGTGCTCTGCATCAGGCAGCAACCGGATGCATCGCAGCAAGCACGGGGGGTGCGGCAC